ATTTCCATCATTGATAAAATTATTTCTTATGTATAAACTTATTTTTGTTCATTATAATGAATGCACAATATTAGAGATGTACCAAATATTTTATTTTTTATAAATATATAACATTAGATATGTGCCCAAAATTTCTTTATCTTTTTTTTTGTGATCCTTTGTATTTTCTATTATTATTATTTTTATTTGAATATGGCATCATTTCATTTCCAGGTAGATTTTAATTTTAGCATTCATTTTCATCATTAATAAAAAATAAAAATACTTCTTATATTTCATAGTTATTTATTTTAATTTTTTATTATTTAATTATAACATTATTTATTAATTAATTTGACCCCAAATGGTCGAATTGCTTACCCTCCACCGGGAGGGAAGAAAATGGTTTTGTTTTCAAAATATTTATTTTTATACTACTAAAATAATATTATGGATTTAATTACAAGAATTTAATAATGATAAACATATATCTTAAAAATTGGATTTAATGAGTAGAATAGGAAAATATTTTTTATTTCTAATTGGTTTTAAATTTACATTTCATTTCCATCATTAATAAAAAACATTTCATATTTATCATACTTATTATTGTTTAATATGTATTTTAAAAATGTTCCCAATTTTTTTAATTTTCAATTTTTCATTTTATCTATTTTTTTTCATTTTATTATTTAATTGTGGCAATATGGATTGACCCATTTGACCCAAAATGATTTAATTTCTTACCATTGCCTAGATGAAGACACTATTTTTGTTAGGTAGACTTTAAAAGTATAAGCTTTCATGTTATTAGAATTATTAATTTATTAAGTATGGATTTAATTAATAAAACTTAATGATGAGAAGAAACAAAAATGACTTAAATATATGATTAAATGAACATGAATGCAAGTTAATAACTTAAATGTTGGATTTAATGAGAGAGGATTGAATGCATTGAATATCTTAAAATTACCTATTTTAAACCCATTTAATATCAATAACCGATTACCTTATTTGCCCTCATTTTTTATCAATAAATTTAAATATAGAGGAGTAAATTTTGTTCTTAGAAAATCCAAAAATATTATTGAGGCCATTGGTGCTTTTTTAAGTAGTATATGTGTGTGTGTGTGTTTATACTCTTCTCAAATTGAACCTTAATTATGCACCCCTAATAATGCATTCTTCCATTACCCTGAGATGATAAGAAATGATAGAATAGAATAAAATCCATGATGCCAAGAACTTGTCCCACAAAGATTGGATTTGCTCCACACACAACACGCCTTCCAACCACCTCCCAGCACGGTGTGGAAAACCTTACTTCCTTCACATTGACCAATTCAATCTATGATTTCTATCTTATTTTTTGGTGAAGTTTTTTTTTTTTAAATCTTTTGAAAACATGAAAAATTTATGATGCCAAAAAGACACTTTATTGGAAAAGCTTTGACCAATCAAAACTAACCCACGAATTTTGATAAGTATCATCTGATTGGTTAATGCGTTTATGATACTAATTAATTGATCACAAGTTTTTCAAATATAGTATATGTTTGGCATCGATGCTACTGATGTGTGGCTTGGAGCAATTTTTGTTTGGAATCGTTGCTACCAGGTAGGACGTTTCCTGGAGCAACAACAACTTTTTCTGTTTGGTACCATTGCTCCAGGAAACGTTTTCAGCACTAGTACCCATTATCCAGTGCCACATCGCTGCACTGATGGCAGCAACGAGCTGCAACTCTAGGAAATGCCAAATTTGGCATTGCTCCAAGCCATGGCTTCCCGATTTCCGAGGCGTGACTTGGAGCACCGTTTTTTATGGAAAAACATTTCCAAACAAATGCCTGTTTCTTGGAGCATTGTTTTTTCCGATGTGGTGCTGATGTGGCGCCGTTGCTCTAGGAAATGACAATGATGCCAAACAGCTCCATAATGTATTATTGATATCATGGTCAAATCCTTTGAAAACATAGTGGAAAACTACTTATGGGATGTCTTGTGAACCAACCACCAACATAAATAAATCAATCCAAACCAATTATCTATTGTAGGGTCGATTTTCACTAATTGTCAATTAGTTTCAAATGGAAAGTTTCCCAACCAAACCAAGTCCACTTGGTTGATCAAGCAGACTAAAAACCGAACTAAACTGACCCATGGACACTCCTAAGTGTAGGCAAAGAAGTATATTAAAATATATACTATATATAAAAGTGTAGATGCAGGGTGAAAGTTTTTTAATGTTAGCAAAATGCCCATATATGTGTATTTAGTCCATCTCCAATTGTAAGGGTTGAAAATGCAACTTCAATTATTACTTTCTACTTCATTTAATCCTCTCTCATTAACTCTTTTACTTAAAGCATTGACTCCCATTTGTTCTTATTAAATCATATATTTAAGTTATTTTTTATTAATAAATACTATTAATTAGATGTATTCCAATATTTTTAACAATATAAACCTATATATATATTTTAAAATTGACTTAAAAAATAAAATCATTCTTTATCCAAGTGGTGGCTAAGTAATTCAACCATCCAACTCAAATTGATCAACCTATGAAGTGATAGTTAGGTAATAAAATTTATAAAATATAAATAAATATAGAAAATTACAAAAAATAGAAAAAGTAGACACATTTATGATATTTTTATCAATCACATTTAAAAATAGTGTAATAAATAATAATTGTTTTTATTGATGATGAAAATGACATACATAATTTAGAATTGACCGAAAATGAAATTATTTTACTATTTGACAAAGATCATTAGTTCAACTTATTGGTCAAATGTGTCAAAATTTAATATCATAAACAAATAATTAAATTAATAAAATATAAAAATACAAAAATGAAAAAAGTACATAAATTTTGCAAAAAAAAATCAGGCACATTTATAATATCATATATTTATCATATTAAACAAAAAGTAAGTGTAGCACATTAGAATTATTTTTTACACACAAAAATAAAACAAATTATAAAAAAATTTAACACATTTATAATTCTATATATACACTACTATTAAAAATATGAATAAGATTTTGGAAATTTCTTTTGACTAAAATACTCATTTTTGAATTTAGTATCTATTTAATTGCGATGTTTAAATTGTAAATTGAACTGCTACTTTTCACTTCATTCATTTATTTTTATTTAAATCATACATTTTTTTTTCATAAATGAACAAATAAAGATAAAACATTACAAAAAGAAGAATATAACCAAACAAATAAGTCTGTCAATGATACTTAAAATTCACAATTCAATCCAATTATCACATATTTGTATAAAATATTTATATACCTATTTAGAATTGACAATCTGCATCCAATTAATAATTAAAAACAAAAAATATAAAAATAAAAATACATAAAATTTATAAAAACTTTTGAATACATTATTATCATCATATAGAATTACTGCACCTACTTAATAGTGCATATAAACATGCCATCCATCTTCGACTGCTCAACAACTACACTATTAACCATATATTTCCCCCCTAATTCTGCCACTAGTTTTTTATGAGAACTAAGAACTTAATTTCTACACTACTAACTCATAAGGTCTCCCAACGGACAAAAACTCCTAGGGTTGAGACCTTTGTAGAGGTTACTTCTGTCTAATATATTTTTAGTTTTACTCCAGACGTAAAACTGATTTGGTATTAAAGACGTGATGCTGTTGTTTGAGTAATATTTTATTCCCTTAAAGTGATAGTATTTATTCAATCATTCTTTAAATATTCTGCCCCAAATTATAATCATATTGAATGGCTGATGAGACAGCACACCTGGTGGCTAAATAGAGCCAAATTAAGATCTCTACTCCCCCCAACCCCAACTTGTTGAAGTCTACCAACATGCATCTCCCTGGTCCCAACGATTTGGGCTTTATCGAGACACATGCCCTCAGTCTCCGCATGCAAACATGCTGAATCAGTGCCGTCTGTAATGCTTCCGCGGAACGGGATCTTCTCCTCACGCATGGGAGCCTCACAAGCAGATCCGGTCTCTGCTTCCGCTGACTCAGTTGGAAGACTCTCTTGCCTTTTCACTTTCTTGCTTTGAACTTACTTTTAATCTACGTCTTAATTAACCATTTTTTTTTAATAAAACTAAAGGAACTACACAAGACAAGACGGGGGTAGCACGTCCCCACAAATCACAAGTAAATGCAAACAGCCAAGGCAACTTACAAAGATTAAGAGATATAAAGCTATCACTCAGCAATTGAGTTTCATGAGCATGGTGAGCGAGTCCAGCCAATCTGCAGCTTGATTTGCTTCTCGATAAATATGCTTGTAGATGATTCCCTTCCCACTCTTCTCCTTGAGCTCCCGGCAGTCTTGAATGACACTCCTCAGATTCTACATGCATGGACTGGATTTGTTTAGACAAGAAATTTTAATCTTGAAATCACCCTCAATTATGATAGGAAAGTTTGTGAAGTTCAAAGCTAAATTATAAGCTTCCAAGGCAGCCCAAGCTTCCACCATATTGATGAAGGTAAAGCCCAATTTATGAACTTTAATATCCAAAACTGCACCCAAATGATTTTTAGCAAGAGCCGCAATGATGCACAAACCGTCCTCCATTTGAGATGCATCAAAATTGATTTTAATCTCACCATAATCGGGGGAATTCCATCTTATGAATTTATAATCTTTATTTAAACCATCGCCATTAGGCTTCTTTGAAAATTCTTGAAATTCTATGAGCTAGTTAATCGAGAGCCTTTTCAAATGACGTTAAAAGAAGGAATCGAGAGATTTTTGAAAACCCTCAAATTTTTGCACTTTCACAAATGTCATAACAGAAAAACACATTTTTCTATATAACAATCCCCTTCAAGCAACAGGGTCTTTGAAAGGTCCACCACCAATCTTTCAATGGTTCCCGGGAAAATAATTTCCCAACAACTCTATTGATTAATTAAACTCATGTAAACCATTTTTAAATATTAATTAATTTCTTTATTAGAAACAATGGGGGTTTTTGTCACTCTCACCGGCCGTGCCATTGACACCGAAGAACCTTCCCACGTTTCAGTTTCGTCCCAAAAAACATGACAGGTGTTTGTTCCAGTACGGGCGCGTAGGCGTAGCGCGTAATTTTTCGTTCCCAACACCACCCAATCATCCATCAAGGATTTGGGCAGTTCGCCCCCGGCAAAAATTTATATTACAACCATGGCCGTCTCCTCCCCTTTCTCGGAACGCCGCTGTATCGTCGCCGCTTTTCTATACACGTTAACCGGAGACCAGTCGTAGAAAAGACAATAAGCCGAAACAAACGTTCGAGTGTGCGACATCAACAAAGATTTGGTAGTAAAATTGTTATTACTGCTTTGATCCTTATAACGCTTTGTCACTTGTGACCGCAAATCTTTTTTTCGATTCTCCGGTGAATCAACTTAGATCTCCTCATTGAATTTCCCTAATTCAATTGTTCCCTTCCTTTTCTTTCTCATTTCGTGTTGTTTTCATTTGATCTGGTTGCTATTGTTGGATTCGTTGCTGTTTAATCGAGTAGAGAATTTTTGTGGGAACCATGGAAATCGGATCAGACTATGGGATGAAGTAGGGTTTCTCTGTGCTTCACAATTTGAATTATGGCGTCGTTTCGGCGAAGTCAATCCATTGCGTATTACGACCGTTCTTACCAGAATGGGGGGAATCCTTTGTCGATTTCATCTCCGTCCCATAAGATTATCGCTGGTCCAAATTATTCGTCGTCACCTTCCCTGTCCTTTTCCGTATTGGCAGCTAGAATTTGGCGATTTCTGGCGGCAATTTTTCCGCTGAGACACTCCCGCAAGGGTCATCAGACGTGGAAACGGTCGTTGTATAGTTTTTTGCTATGTTTCGTTATTGGTCTGTTGCTTGGATTGGCTCCATTTTGGAATGTGGATGATATCAACAGCCATCGCATCTCCTTCGAGATTAGACCCCCTACGGTTAATCTGCAACAGGACCTCCGAGTCGTTGCCAGACAGGAAAATGTCGTGATGGAGACGGTGAATTTAGGTCTTGAGACAAAACAAGAGGTGGTGGAGAGATTCGATTTCATCCCCCAGAAGCAGCTGATAGTTGTAACTCCCACATACAATCGGGCACTCCAGGCATTCTATCTCAACCGCTTGGCACACACGTTAAGTCTTGTTCCCCCACCCCTGCTGTGGATTGTCGTGGAGATGAACTCAGCTTCAACGGAGACTGCTGAGATACTAAGGAAAAGCAGTGTCATGTATAGACACCTGGTGTGCACCAAGAATTTGACGAATATAAAAGACAGAGGCGTTCACCAGCGGAACACGGCACTCGAGCATATTGAACACCATAGACTGGATGGTATTGTCTACTTTGCAGATGATGATAACATCTATTCTCTTCAGCTATTTGAAAGCATAAGAGAAATCAGGTATTCTTTCTTTTTCCAATTTCCTCACTTTCCTTTTCTACATGAATATTTCAACTTTGTCTCCGATGTTACGTTTTTCCAGTCAGTCTTCTAACATATACCCATTGTGGATCCTCTAGGCAATTTCAATCAGTTTAATTTTGTACCCAATATGATTGTAGTACTGGAAAAGGTGGTTATTTCCAGAACTGCAATAACATTGCCTAGCATAAACTTTTCCAAGCTCATTTGTTATGAATACAATTTTTGGACTTGTTTCTTTGATTGGTTTTATTCATCCTGTAGTGTGCATATGGATGATATTTTGTTGAATATGTACTCATTTGGATGGTAATTTGCCCAAATATCAAATGTCAAACCATGCATGTGTTCATCCTGGTCCATGGAGTAGAGGCCATTCCAATTTCCAAATGCTGGTTCCTTTGGAGGGGTAGACAGTAGACTGGATATCATTCTATCCTCCAGCATTTTTTTTTTTGTTTGCACAAAGTGGCCACCCTCAGATTTGAACTCTGTTCTCATGCTTGTCAGCCACGGATTTTACCATCATATCAAGCAGTGGATTCTAACCTGGCTCCATGGAATGTCTGTTATTTTTAACAATCATTTTACTCATCAATTTACATTTATAGATGTATCATTTTCTCCCACACTTAATTCTTCTGCAGCATCACTGCAGTCAAGCCTGTGATCGGTAAGAAACAATTTGTGAGTCTTCTAAAAATGTTTTGCATTTTCTGTGCAACTACTGCACAACAAAAATAAATAGAGTAAAAAGCCAAAAACATTAGGCCAATATGACATAAATTTTTTGGTTTAGGGTATTAGGTTGTATGCTTGAGTCAAAGCTCGGATTATATTTCAGAAGGTTTGAAGTAACATAAAGATGATTATGAAGCCAAAATTCCAGAAGGCTCAAACCAGGACCAGATTGTTTTGTTCTTTACTTTGTTTGCTAGCATTGCAGTTTCATCCAATATGCTTCTTTTATAATTTTCAGCAAGCAATAAGACTGATTGGGTTAACCTTTTATGAAGACTGGGGTTTAGCCTTTTTTTTTCCTGGGTTGTTTTTCGTACTTTTTATCTCCGTATTTCTTTTCTTTTCTGGAAATTTGCTGTCCATTATGAAACAAACTGTGGCTATTTTCACCACAGAGCTGTAAATAAAAGAATGAACAAATAATTTTTTGATTGGCAACCATGAAGAGAATCTCATTCACTGAAGATAGAAATCTCGGCCCACCAAACAAATAATGAATAAGGTGCAAGGAGAATAGCGTTTAGCTATTCAATCCCATGAATGAAAAAACCAGAAAACGGAAGTGGTTTTACAACTCAACCCACAACCCTGGATAGCCCCATTCAAGATTATACCTTGTAACTCTAATCTGTCTAATGAATTTTCTAGGGTATTATCAACTCTTGGAGCCCATTTGAACAAGCAATTCAAATTTGTAGCCAAGGCTTTTGCTTCTTTATCCAGAAATGTTAGCACCCGTGATGTTTCTTTCCCTTAACCACAACTTGACAGGTTCCTTCCACTTCTAAATTTGTCTATCTGTTGCTTGTAGCTAGCTTTAACCCTTGTAATATTACTAGAAATTCAACTCTCAGAGAATTTGCCTATAGGCTCTGAGAAACTTGGTTCACATGAAAATTCTCAGGGCCTAGAAGTTCAGCTTAACATGGGTTACCTAAGCTGCAACCATCAAAGTTTGATTTCCTACAACAATATCCAAACCAACTTTACTAATTGATACATACTAATTTTATTTAAGATATGAGGGGAAAAGGGGCCATTACCCAATGTTGGTCCTGGGACGGGTGGACTGGATATATATTGGATCAATTTCGGATTGATTTACATTCAAACTAATTATAGATGGATTGAATTTGGATCACCATAATAATACCAGATTCGAATTTGAATTCAGATAAGTAGCTATCATTTGCAGTTCTAATGTGGACAAGTACATATATGGTGAATCATGTACTCATCATATGGATGGGGTTTCTGCCATGTCAACCTTCTGTGGCAAAAAAAAGTCATTTTAGTCTTTAAAGCCTCCAGCAACAAAATGGAGCACCATTTGTCTAATTTTGAACACTAAATTTTGCTATAAGCTCCTGTTTTCCTTTATCTGTGTGTTATGGCTTTCACAATTCTTGATATTTTTCTTATGATCATTTGCAGGCGTTTTGGCACTTGGCCTGTTTCCATGCTCACTCAAAGCAAAAACAAGGCAATACTGGAAGGCCCGGTCTGCAATGGAAGTCAAGTAATTGGATGGCACACAAATGAGAAGAGCAAGAAGCTTAGAAGGTTTCATGTTGATATGTCAGGATTTGCTTTCAACAGCACCATTCTCTGGAACCCCAAGATATGGCATCGCCCTGTGTTAGATCCTATACGTCAGCTTGACACAGTGAAGGAAGGGTTTCAAGTATGCGTTATACTTTATTCTGATGTACTTTGATAAATCATACATATATCTGTTGCTTATGCTACAACCTTTCGTGTCATGCTATAACTGGTTTTCTTTATTTAACATTCTCAGGAGACTACATTTATAGAGCAGGTGGTGGAAGATGAAAGTCAAATGGAAGGCATACCCCATGGGTGTGGCAGGGTTTTGAATTGGCATCTTCATTTGGAAGCTCATGGTCTTGTTCATCCCAGAGGTTGGCGGTTACAGAAGAACCTGGATGTTATACTTCCTCTGAAGTGAAGAAAATCAGCTGCTTAATTATTTTGTCAATGAAACAGGTCTGTTTATAATCACTTTAAGATTTCTCCTAACATTTGAAACAGTAGCAGTTGCAGACACTGGTCTATAATGAAAATAAAAGCTGTTTTCTTTTTCTTATCTAAAAGACAAAGTATGTAAATAAATTGGAAAATATATATCTTTTTTATTAAAATCTTTTGTGCAGATAACCACAAATTCTATTGAAGCGGTTATATAATAGTGTTCCCGCTTCTTGCTTTTCTCCTATAAACCTAACCTTTTCCTGCATCAGGTGTTATAAGTTATGGATTGTGGTGGCTATGATTATCCTAATAGATTTGAGTTGCTTAATGCTTTTTTTTGGTTCTGCTTGTTAGATGCTTTTCCATGCATTATTTTTAGACTCTCAATAATTACCATTTGTTTGGAATTCTGTAAAGTAGGGTTTTTTGGCATTGACTTGGTAGCTTTTGAACTTTGCAAGTTTTTAGTGTTTCTTGTGAAAGGAAATAGACTCTTCTTTATCTTTTTAAACTAATTCAATAAGTAAACTGTATTCTCATACTTCATTTTACTTTTTCATGACAGTGGCTTTAACAATATCTAGTTCTTGTGGGCTTCCTCATCCCGCAGCACACAATTGTTAGTGCCTCCACTGTCGACCATCAACAGCAGTAGCAGCATTAGCATATAACAGCACAACAGCAACAGTCCAGAAGAGAATCAGTGTTCTTTTGTATCTTTTAAAATTTTTCTGCTTTATATTCTTTTGCGGGAAGCAGTATTCAATCTTGCTGTAGAGTTGATGTTGCTTTTGTGATGTACTTGTAAATTTTTTTTGCACTGGAATACTGGATTTCTGACTCAAATCATGCACACCAAAATTTCTGGTTTGTGCCAATACCCTATCTTTTGGTAGGCCTTGTATCAAAATCAAGTGAGAGCCATTTTATAGATCGGTTTTTTTTTTTGTGTGTGTTTCAAGGAAAAATTGTGCTACAAATCTAGCTTTGTTCCAGCAATTTGGACTAGTTCTTGTATTCTGTAGTCCCTTTGGATTTGGGGCGTTTAATAGATAATCATATAATTGAAGAATGGTCTTTTGAAACATTTTCTTTCCTACAGCGCCATTATAAATATCACCTATTCGAGTGCAAAATTATAAGCATTTGGTTTTTCTTTTTTCATTTGCTTGAAAAGAGATGATTCTATTGAGAACATGAAGGACCCGTACATGCATGGGAAAATTGGGAATTAGGAGTGTTTCTTGGGCTGGGTTATCTGAAGTTCTGAACCCAATCTAAAAATGTTGGCTTGAATGTTGTGCTAGGGTTTCGGTTGAAAAATATGAATTTGACTCTCGATTGTGTTTTCCTTTTTTTGGGTAAACCAGATAATTCATTAATCAGGAACAAAGCATGAAAAAAAAAAAAAACAAAGACAAGGCAAGCAAGAAAAATAGAGCTCTGTGTTGGGTTAGGGATGATGCATTTTCGCAACTTCAACGCGAATCTAACATGTTTCTGTATTTGTACAAAAACAAATACGTATGTACGTATGTATAAAAACAAATATATGCATTCAATAATTTTAAATTACTCCTAAAGCACCATAACCTTGTACCCATATGTATCTAATATCAGTCCATCTTAAAATTATACGAACATTTTAATGAAAAAAAAAAGTGAAGAAATTGGGCTATAACCTGAACAGGAATTCAAAGGTTGGGCTATACCAACCTTAACAGCTTGGGTTGGGTTGGGGTTGACCTTAACTTCGTTCGACTTGCACAGTAATTCAAAGACAGAAGTTGATAATATTATAAGCCATACATTTTCAGAACAGGGTAGGTGTATAAACTCAACCCCATCAAAGCTTCTTGCCTCTCAGGGCTGCAAATGGATTGGTTTTTAATGAAGTTAGAATTCAACTCCAATCCATAAACTGGATTCAGATTTCTGATGTCACCATAATCAGATTGGGTCAGTTTTGAAAATGTGATCTATTTATTAATCAAATTGAATTCAGGCGTCATTTGATTTAATCTGCTAGAATCTGATTTGTTTGTGTGTGAAAACTGTGATCTGTGCGCGCGTGCTTGTGTTGGACCACTTGATCATTGGATTCTTTATAATTCTAACTCAGGGCTTTTTAGGATTAAGTAGGATTTGGAATTTAAAAAAAAACCCTACTTTTTCTGTTTATATCATACAGTTTATTCTTTTTCATATTTAGCTTTGTAGATTTATGCTGCTTCAGTCAGATTTCTGAATGTAGAAACAAATTTAATTGAATCCATATTTCACATATTTGAAGGATAAGATTTGAATATACCATATCTTTATTGTATTGAATTCGAATGTTAATTTATTTTGCTTTTTCAGGGGGGGGGTAAAGCTGAACAACTAGATGGGCCAAAATATAAAAGACATACAAATGGGGATTGGGGGCATGGCTCCCCCCCCCTATTTGCAGTTGCAGCCATATTGCCTTTCCCGAGTTGAATATGCTCCCGAGCTGGTATTTATTTATTTATTTTTTAAATGAACGAGTACATGTTTGCTGGTGCCAGATTGTGGCTTTGTGGGCAAGCAATATTACGAGTCTTTGGTTGGTTCCCAGGACATGGCAGCTCCACACCATACGTCAGTGTTATCCACACAATCACCCACATATATAGGGAGGGAAAAGGATAGGAGATGAAAAGAAAACGAGTTAACTTTGGTCAACAGTCTATGCTGTTGAGAGCTTTCTTAGGCTGGACACATTTACTAATTCATGCCCATGTCTATATTTATAATTCAAAAGAAATAGAAGGCAATTACTATTTTACCCCTCTATGGTAACGTCGCAATCCCAAAAATGTTCTCAACAACAGAGGCTATTGGCCCCCAACAGCCAAAGTTTTTCCAAAGAAACACGATCAAAATATAAATACGAAAATTCAGAAATTTATATTTTCTAATTTATTTTGACATACCCAAGTATACAAAATATTTGTGTACAAGCGCATCATCTCTGATTCGATCGGGATCCAAAAGCTCCATTTGTTTGAACTTTGAAGTGCAATTTTTTATATACAAGTGCATCATCTCTGATTTGATCGGGATCCAAAGGCTCCATTTGTTTGAAGTGCAATTTTATTTGCACCAGTACAGATACATGAGGATACAGTAACTGCATTTGGCTTTACTTAATTTGGTTCAGACTTTATTTTATTTCGTCTTCATTGCAAATAAAAGAGTCAAACGTCAAAATTTACACTCAGATCACTTAGCATTCTCATACTTGTGCATCAGTATAATCGAGGCACTGCAAACAGGCAAGTAAGGTATTTAGCAATCAGGTTACCACTCAAAAGCATAGGTTGGCATATACTTCTGATTGCTATCAGTTATCCCATTAGTATTTCCTTGATGACCAAAGGTATATAGAAGGTCCTTTTGATAGCATAGATAATCAAGGCAATATTGAAATGTTAAATTCCAACTTTGAATTTTGGTCTTGTACTTGTGATCAGCTTCTAAAATTTTGAATAGTCAACATAAATGCTGGCTCCTGATATAATTCTTTAGCATTGTACTTTCAAAAGGTTATATTAGGCGTAGCCCACATAAACACTAGATCAACTCCCTTGAGAGTTGAGACCTATCTGTATGAACATATTAGTTGAAAATGTAAATCTGAGGTAAAGCAAATAGCCATTACATTCAAGAATCAACAATACAGAGATTTAAAACGGAAGACGCTCGTGACTGATCAAAACTTAACTACAAATTACAGACTCAACAAAAGATATTATTGAACAAGCCCTAGATTGGGACGGGAAAGAACATAAATCATCAAACTATGATGGAAAAAAGGATAAGCTAATAAAATGAAAATAAGATACAACTATGATACATTCTCCTACGGGCTTGCAAAGAAGGGATCCTTTTCTTCAACATTTCTCCTCCCTCTATAAAATGATTCCTTCCCGCTGATTCCATGCTATTAACCAGTTAAAATCCGCCCATCACCTGTTCATAATCTCACGTGACAAGGTTTATCAGGGCCGTCCACTGTTGTTCCTTTTCAACAATAGCAACCATGGGATGGGGCCAATAAACATTTTCTCACCCTCCATGATGATTGAAGCGCTGCTAGTCAAGTTCTAGAGCTCAATGGCTATAGGTGTCACGTTAGTGTTGCACCATGAACCGAAGAACCTGCATCTGAAGTGTGTAGAGAAGGTGCATGATATGATCGTTGTGCATGTGATTCATTTGCAAGACCCAGAACCGCCAACATCGATCTGTTTTATACAGCTTAAGTTAGCTTATGAAACTTAGTACTAGAACAACAAAGTCAAAGGACAGCTTTCCAAGGGTTAAACTTCCCAATTGTAGAGATCACAATTTAATGAACAAAATATTAGAGATTGGGCAGATAGGTTGAAGTTTAAGCATCATATTTTGTCACAGCTCAATTATCCAATAGCAATAGGATGGTGAAATTGAGCAAGTGTCTGTCATAGATTTAGAGATAAGTGGATAGCGAAGTATGGATGTGCTTTACAAGAGTTGTGATCAACAACAACACTAAAATTAATAGGACACTAATAATACTAGCCAAAACTTTCAGACAAAATGTTGAGCAATCAAGAAACACATTCAATAAAGATAAACATATGTGCAAATAAGGACTTGTACATTTTAGACTCTAATAATACTAGCCAAACTTTTTAGAAGAAAGGTTGGCCACACAAAATGAAGACAAACAAATGTACAAATAAGGACTCGTTTTGGTGTAAGTTGGGAGTCTGGATCTGTCTCATTTTTTCTTGCACTTCTATACTCTCTGTGACAGGTTTCCTATTACATAAGGTCTATACAAGTATTTACAAATGTATAATAGATACCTCTCACAGAATGAAAGTGCAGTAGCTGTAGATCAGGGTTAGGTTGATGAAGAGACTGGGTTCAGGGAACATGGAGACATAGGCTTAGGTTGTTGGACGAATGAGAATAGAGTTGCCAATCCCATAGTGAGATAAATTACATATGATGACAATGGTGATAAACTGATAATGATATAGGCCATGAATACTTAATCTTTTGCAAGTTATTCCTTGTATTTTCTGGTAAGTGAGGAACACATCTTTCTTGGCAAGAAGTAGCTCATAAATAACAAAGCAAAAAGCACAAGACACAAGGTTCACTTCCTATAGAGAGCACAAGACCCAAAGGTCTACAACATGTTTAACTCATTCAACATGAAGTTTGTGCTTGAACACAAAAATTGATACTAAAAACTGGTGGAATTTTGAGATATACTATATTGAAATAGAGAACAGTCTGCACGTGGGGATTATTAATAAACATATATAAAATTTACAACATAGCCCAACTGTCAATGCAAAAAACAGGTGGGGAAAGAGCTGTCACATGAAAAGAAGGGAAAACACACATGACCAAAGCAGTCCATCCACTATAGCATATGGCAGGCAAGCCCCCCCTCCATCCTCTAAAAAACAAAAAAAACTTTAACCAGAATGGCATATTCTGGATTTGACCACATCCGTGCTCCTCAAATCAACTCAAGAATCAAATACACAACAACCCTTATAAAGATGCACAAACCTACAGCACCTTTCTGGCATGGGATCAGTAGTCAGATGGGTCAACAAAAAATGTACCTTGGCAGTGAAGCCCTTACAGTTGGCTGATTGGCATAAGCAGCAAGGGGACCTCTGAGATTACAATGCTTGTTAAGAGCACTCTCAAGCTGTGGAGGAGGTAACTGCAAGCAGGATAAAGGGGACAGACGCTTAACTGTAAACGCCAATAAGAAAGGAACAATTCGTTATTCAAAGAAAGATGCCATATCAAACCTGTAATAGCACATGAAAAGAATGTGGCTGTGTCTGATATGCACATTTCAAGAACCCTACCCACAATTTTGGCATCTTCCATATCTGTAAGAAAGAAACCATGCTACCATTAAAACTACAATAACAACATTAAAACCATGGTCCATGATTTCAACTCCGATAAATGCTTCTCCATACAGAAATAAGAAACTTAAAGATACTTCACTAAGATATTTGGAGAATCCAAAAAAAGGGAAAGATTACTATAAACATGGAATTTGTTAATGACACTTTATTAGAATAGGTAATAATTGTACATTTGAGACTCAAAAACAATAAGGGTCCGCTTGGTTCACAGTTGGAATCCGAATCGGAATGGGAATGGTCTATTCCCAAGTCTGTTTGGTTCAGACAGGAATGATAATGGGAATTGGAGTCAGCAGGAATGGGTTTCATTCCCAAGGAAGGGGGAAGGAATGCCATTCCCTCAAATGGGGAATGCCATTCCACCAGGAATGGGAATGGGATTCCGATTCCGCCCAACCAAACAGTTGGAATCGGAATAGCCCATTCTGATTCTGACTCCAGACCCCTATTCCCACGAACCAAACGGGGCCTAATAAACAACTGTACATATCAAACAAGAGAAGATAAAGAGACTCAAACAGGTATACTGATTACCAAAAACATTTAACTCGTTACCATTAAACAAATATTTCTTCCTTATTATATATCTTTATTTGATTGAGAATTCCCTTTTCCAGTTGTCTTTTTTTTTTTTTTTCAATGACTCACCAATTGAATCACATTCATAATCATAAGCTAGTCATCCCACCCAGAATTTCCATTTTTTTTCTTTTCGGAAAAATTAGGATGATATTAGCAACATGAAGGAAGGTTTCCATGAAATTATGAAATTTTAATCATTAAATGTTTGATTTATCGATGACATTTGAAATATCATTGATGCATAGGCAATATACTGGGGATATGGGGGGAAAAAGAGATTCCTGTAGTCCTTCATATTGGCCCCTAAAGAAATGGGCTAAACCATGATGCACACACACACACACACACTTGAATAACACCAACAAAAAATATAACAAAATATTTGGTCAAGCCAGCATACCTGCTTACTCACAAGTTTGGAGAGTATCTCCATGACAAAATCAACCTGCAAAATAAGCAAGCAGGCGTGTCAAGAAACATTTACTATCATAATGCATACTATTACCAGTCTCTATGCCAGGCAGATGGCACATGCATGTGCATCTCACATAAAACAGAAACAGCAACAAGCCAAATAAACCCACATAAACCCAGTTCAAATATAAAGTAGGTCCATCATGCAAAAATATATGCTTTTTTTCTCTTACTCCACATAAGTCTTCCACATTCCAACGAGGGGATAATGACACCTAATAGAGTCACATTTTCATACCATCTGGCAAAGATTTGAGATAATGAACTAAAGTTAACTGAACAAAGCCGTATCCCAACCACAAGGGGTGAAGAAGAAGAAGAAGAAGAATAGCTGGCGGCGCGGGTCTTTGTATTTATATGTTAGGGCAACAATATAAGAAATAAAAGAAAAGACAAAAGTGCCCTTGCGGCACATAACTAAGATTACATCACTCCCCCTCAAGTTGGGGTGTAGATATCAATCATCCCTTAATCCTTTGGTAAGGATGTCTGCAAGTTGTTCCTTAGAGCTGATGTAGGGAGTGCAAACTTCTCCTTTTTCAAAATTTTCCCTGATGAAGTGTTTGTCAACCTCTACATGTTTAGTTCTATCATGGAGAACAGGATTGGCTGCAACGTTGATGGATCCCTTATTGTCACAATAGAGTGACATAGGGCCACTGAGAGGAAAGCCCAATTCACTCAAGAGATTCTTTATCCATAGAAGTTCTACCACACCATGAGACATGGCCCTGAATTCAGCTTCTGCACTCGATTTGCCCACTGCACTTTGTTTCTTACTCCTCCAAGTAACAAGATTTCCCCAAATAAAGGCACAATAGCCACTAGTGGATTTTTTGTCATCCATAGAACCAACCCAATCTGCATCAGTGTAAACCTCAACTTTCATATGCCCATGTTTTTCAAATAGGAGCCCTGTCAATTTCTTCAAATATCTAAGAACTCTGTATGCTGCCTCCTAGTGTGTGGCCCTGGGAGCATGCATAGATTGACTAAGGACTCCCACTGCATACGCAATGTCAAGTCTTGTCATAGATAAGTAGAGAAGTCTGCCCACCAATCTTTGATACTGCTTTGTGTCTGCTATGGGCTCATTAGTGCAATTCCCAAGCCTGTGGTTTACATCTATAGGAATGTCAATAGGTTTTGCTCCAAGCTTCCCCATATCTTTCAAGAGATCTAGAATATATTTCCTCTAGGAGATGAAGATACCTTGATTAGAGCGGGCAACTTCAATTCCAACCCCAAATCCTTCACTTCAAACTGAGTAGCCAAGAATCTCTTCAATCTCTGTATCTCTGAGTCCCAATCACTGGTGATAATAATGTCATCGACATACACAACTAAAACTGCCATTCTTCCTTGTCCTCTCTTCACAAAGAGTGTGTGATCAGACTGGCACTGCTTAAAGCCTATCTGTTGAACTGCCTTGTGGAACCTACTGAACCAGGCCCTTGAAGACTGTTTTAAGACATACAAAGATTTCTTTAGTCTGCAGACTTTATACTCATTTCCCTTAGCACAAAAACCTGGAGGTTGGGTCATGTACACATCTTTTTCTAAGTCACCATTCAAAAAGGCATTTTTAATGTCCAATTGATGAAGCTCCCAATCTAGATTTGCTGCTAAAAGAAAAGAGAACTAGAATATAGTTCATTTTTGCTACAGGTGCAAAGGTTTCTACATAATCAACTCCATACACCTGTGAAAAACCTTTTGCAACTAGCTAGGCCTTGTACCTCTCCACTATGCCATCTGCCTTATGTTTCACAGAGAATACTCATTTGCACCCAACATCCCACAGGTTCTTTTCCCTCAAGAAGATCTACCAACTCCCACATGCCATTTTTGTGAAGGGCATTGATATCCTCCTTCATTGCATCTGTCCACTTAGGAACAAGTAAAGCTTCTGCAACACTCTTAGGAAGGGAGACACTGCCAATAGCAGAGAGGAAAGCATGGAAAGAGGGTGAAACATTCTCATAGGATAAGGAATGAGCCATTGGGTGGTGTGTGGTGCATGATCTAACACCCTTCCTCTTAGCAATAGGAAGATCCAGATCACAATTAGAAGTATCTGTAGAGAACACTGATGTGGGCCCCACAGCTGTGGTCCCACTCTGTCCGTAGGGTAGAATGTATCTAGTCATAGCTGATGGTCAATTTATTATTCTGTTATTCTAGTTGTCATTTATCTTTCAGTTTTATATTGTTATGTGTTATGATGTAAACACCAAGGGCAGATGTGTCTTTTCATGTAACTAGCATAACATATAAATATTAAATTGAAGTGGCGGTGGCAGAATATTGAGATTCTGTCATTCCTTTCAAAGCCTGTGTTCTATTGCTCTCTCACCACTCTTTCTCCTCTTTCTTCTTCACTTTCTCTTCTTTTCGAACCTGAAGTTTCTTAGTGATCAAGACTGATAGCAGTTTTGAACACCTACATGGTATCAGAGCCAAGTTAGGGTTTCTCATGTGAGTCTATTACCAGCCGACCACATGAGAATCTCCTAGGACTGGAAGCTGAAAAGGAGGAGTTCGCAGACTGATTCTTGGAGATCGCCAGAAGTGCTAGCAGTTGTTGGAAGCTTGTTAGGGTTGTAGAGTGTTGGTGGTCAGGAAGGATTAGAGAAGACTAGGGTTTGGGTAACCTTAGAAGGCAGCGAACAATTTTTCCTTGTAAGTTATTTATTTTCTAAGAGAAGTTCTATCAGAGAAGATAGGTTGGACCTATCTAGAGAGGGAGGCCGAACCATTCTAGGGTTTTCTCTCTTCGATTCACTAGGGT